TTCTTTTTTATATATTTACGAAGGGGGAAAAAGGTGGGGAGAGTGAGAGAGAAGTATATGAAAAATATTAAAACTCGATGTATATACTTTATTATTATTATTATTATACGGATTTCAAATTATTGAGATATATATTTATTTATTTAAAATGTTTTTTTTTTTTTTACAAAAATTTCAAAATGGCGGATTTTTTGTCAAATTTTTTTGCACGTAACGAATAACAACACTATTAATACTACACGAATAAAAATTTAAAAAATTATTTACGCTAAAAAGGGGATGAAATAGGGATGGGGTGGGAAATGTAGAGGGGGAAGGGAGGGGAAAGGGGAAGGGGTTAAATGTAAAAAACTATTTAAAATTTTTTTATTTTTTTTTTGTGTAATTAATGACGTCGAAATAATTATTATTTTATTTCGTTAATTTACATATAAACGATAAACGATGTTAATTTTCTTTTTCTATTACCTTCTTTCATTCCTTTTCCTCTCCTCTCCTCTCTCCTAACCACCCTCTCACTTTTAACATTATTATTATTATTGTTTATTTAAACGGTTTTAAAACGGTATAATTATTATTATAACGATATAAATATTCCGGATGAATATTTTTTTTTTTTTTTAAAATCACGGAAGGAATGATATCGATAGATAAAAAAAAAATCAAAATGAAAACGTTTGATAATAATAATAATGATAAATCGTATGGTCAACGAAGCATTAAAACAATATGAATATGTTCACCGTGAAATCAAATTTCATCCCCCAAAAAAGGAATCCGCACCCCAAAGCCTGGCACGCGTCTAGTTTAGTCGCCGTCGTCGCCGCCGCCGCACACTCCCCTTCCTCACCTTCTTCCTCTTCCCTCCCCCTGGTTATAACCACCCCCCGCGGGTGCTCGTTTGCTCTAATACTTTTTCTATTAATGGCTTTTCATCTTTTTATTATTATATATAACTTTTCTCTCCCGCTGTTATCATTTTTCTCTCTCTCTCTCTCTCTGACTGACTGGTTGACTTGTTATCTATATATATATATATATATATATATATATATATATATATATATACTAATTCAGTAGAAATAAAGTTAAAAAAAAAAGGAAAAGAAAATTCTAGAAAATAAAAAAAAAACAATTTAATGAATCTGTGAGTTTTTTTTTTTTTTAAATGATTTATTAAAATTGAATTTAAAAAAAAAAATAGGGGAAGAGGGTTGTAAAGAATCGAATGATAAGAAAAAATCTTCTCCTTTTTAATATTCTCATTAAAAGCTCTCTAAAAAGCTCAGAACTTTCTAGATTTACCTTTAATAAGATTAAATGGTAATCAGCTTAAATAGGGTAAAAATGCATTTATAAAAAAAAATTTTTTTTTTTTTTTTGACTTTAAAGTTTACCTACCCGAATGTCCCTCCCTTAAAAAAAAATCTCCAGAAAGAGAATAAGTATCCCTTTTATTACGTCATTAAATAATTTTCTAATTATTACGATAATGATGATAATAAAAATAAAAAAAAACCATTGATTTTTTTCCAATTAATTTATTTTGAGATTTAAAAATTGATTTTATTTTTTTTGTCTTTTCAAGGTTGCCAACTTGAAATTTTAATTTTTTTTTTTTCTGGAACGTTCCTGAAAAAACATTTCGTTATTCGTCGTACAAATTATTTTTTTCCTACGGAGAAAAAAAAAATTTAAAAATGAGGAAGAGATAAAATCTCAAAACTCGAAATTTCGCCATTTTTATTTCTGGATGAAAAAAATGATGACGTCACATAGTCTCCAGTATTTAACGAAATTTTTTCCTTTTTTCCTTTTTTATAGGTTTAATTTTTATTTAGAAAAAAGGCAACACTGACTTTTGATTTTGGGCTTTGTTTTTTTTAAAAAGAAAAAAAGAAGAAGATGAAAAAAAAAATGGCGGAACGATTTCCTGAATTTTCTGCTGTTGTTAATACAAAAAATTTTCCAAACACTTGTAACGGTTACGATGAAGGAAAGAAATTAAATAAAAATGCATCGTTAACGTTACCAAGACGTCGAAAAAAAATTTTTTTTTACGACTCTATAAAATAATACGAAAAAAACGTTTTCCCACCATTTTTCCTTAAATTTAAATTAAAAAAAGGAATTTTTTATATTTTTTTTTAACTCTCGTTAGTATAAAAAATCAGGCGAGTCGTAACGATGATAATAATAATTAAAATTATAGGGAAAAAAATTTGTTTTTTTTTAAACTCGTACTGGGATTCTGCTTCCACGTTTTTGTATCAAAGAAGTTTTTGTCGGTATTAATAATTTCTACGATATGTTCTTCTCACCCTTATCTTTTGATTTTAATGAGTGTGTATATCAGTGACCGAAGGTTATTTTCATATCTCAAAGGGATGTGACGTCAATCATGGAAACTTATTGAATTTTTTTTTTATATTTATTTATTTGAATTCCCTTCCGTTTTTTTTTTCTTTTTCCTCCATGACGGTGTTTTTTTATATATATGTTTCTATCTCTCTCTCTCTCTCTTTTTTTTTTCTCTTTCCGGTTTTGTGATTTTCATATGTATGCGTAAAGAAAAATCTTTGTCGTGTTATTACATACACACGTGTAATAATAAAATGTTTTTTTTATTCTGGAATTTTCCTGGAGAAAATTTTTTTTTTTCCTGTTAAAGTTGTTGATGGGAAAAAAACTGGAGAAATCACAATGATAATGATAATTACGGGTAGAAATGATGATGATGATGATAATTATTGTAAAACACGTGTATTAAATAAAACTTAAAACGTTTTGAAATTTTTTTTTTTAATTACGAAAAAATAATTTGATAAAAATTGATAACGTTTACGTGAAGGGGTAAAAAAATAACGCACGCGCACACACACCCGCAGGTAAAAAAATTATGGTTGAAAAAAAAGAAAAAAAAATTGAAAATAATCAAACGCTAACAATTTTTTTTTTTTTTTTGGAATAATGTTAAAACAGTTTGATACAATGGTGATGATGAAAGGGATATCGATCCCGTGGGATTTCCGGAACCCCTGGGATTTCCAGCATTTTCCCAGTCAAATTTAAATCTCTTATGCGCTTTGGAAAAAAAAAAAAAAAATCAATTTCACCATTTTGATTTTTTATCAATCGTTTTATTATTATTCGTACCTGAATTTTTAATTTTCCTTCTTCTTCCTCCCCCCAGGAAAATTAAAATAATTCGATTAATTTTTTTTTTTGGTAGCTTTTTGGAAACATACAAAACCTGGAAAAATCAATTATTATTATTTTTTTTTAGCAGAAGACCAAAAATAAACGTGAAAATGACAACGAACGAACGAACGAAACCATTGGGAAAAAAATCTATCGAATTTTCCCAGTTTCATACGTGATAAATACACGTTACAATTGCGTAATGATAATAATAATAATAATAATAATAATAATAATAATGTTTAAAAAATTTGATGATGATAATAATAATAATAATAATAATAATAATAAATGGGGAAAATAATTTCAAGTTAACTTTTTCCCTTGGCTTTAAAATCGCTGACTGAGCACCGAATCACGTTGTATGTATGACAACACCATTTTCATCTAAAGAAGTTCACTCATCTTGAAATAAGCTGTTATTTATATGTATTATAAAATAAGGGATGAGAATTTTTAAGGGTAGATAATTTCATCCCTTTCTTTTTATTTCATTCCTTTTTTTTTTAAATAACTTTTTTTTTTTTTTTGTGCAGTCGAAATAAAAAAAAAAAATCATTGCGAGTTCGTTATTTCTCGTTCTTCGTTCATTTTTTTTTTTTTATTTTTGCTGGAGAAAAATTTGCTGTTCGTCTGCTTTAACGTAATAGAATTTTCAAAATAATAATGATAATGATAATGATAATAATATTACGTTTTACATTTTTAATTTTATCCAAAATTGACAATTTTTTGATGTTATTAAAACTTCAGAAATTTTTTCTTTTCTTTGTACACTTCGTCAAGACGTTATTTTAATATTTTTATCATCATTATCATTATTATTATTTCGTTTTACTTTTGATAAGAGAGAGAAAAAAGAAAAAAAATTTTTGTACCGAATCATTTCCGGTTTGTCAAAAGGTTAAAGTTTAAAGTTAAACGAGTAAATGAGAACGAGGACGATTTTTTTTTAAACGGAGAGGAAAAGAGAGAGGGGCAGAAGGGAAACCCCCTGGATTTTGTGGTCCAGATTTAAAAAAAAAAAACTGCTGACGAAAAGGGTAGCTAGCTCGTGAGTTTTTTTTTTTTTTTTTTGGAACCAGAATGTTCCAGAAAGGTTTCGACTCGCTCACGGAAAATAAAAGCCACGCCTACTCGTCATTTCCTATCGAGTTATCAACAAAATTTATTATATGCATCTTTTCAAATCGAATAAATTTTTTTTTCTACCTTTTTTTTTATTAAAATGTCAATTTTTTTTTTACTTCTTCGCCTTCTTAAAAACGATTCAATAATTTTTGTCACGTGACTTATTTTCTAGCTCCCGCCATTTTTGATGAAGAAATTAACGCAAAATCAGGCACGATCGATTTATTTTTTTCCGGGGGAAAATTTAACCGATAACGATGATGGTTTTTTATTTATTTAAATTAAATCTTATTATTATTATTATTATTATTATAAATTTAAATTTAATTTAAAATTAATATTTTATTTAAATTAATCAAATAATTTTAATGAGGGTGGGAAAAAAAGAAAAAAAAAGGAAAATCGAAACATGGAAAAATACAAAAACAAAAAGTGTCGACGTCTGCCGGGCGACGCGGGAAACTTTTTTTAAAAATGAAAATTTTGACGGTGCTGCTATCTGTCAAATAGACGCCATTTTGTTTTAGTTTAAAATGTGTTCTTAACGGTGTGTGTGATTTTCAGTTTCAAATGATGGATTTCGACGGTTGAAAATTATGGAGGAACGAAAAGAAAGAGAAAAAGGTATAATATAAAACATTTTATTGATGAAAAAAACGTTTTCAATTTCAAAACGGGCCTGTATTAAAATTAAAATAAGGTTTTCTCTTATTCGAAGTTTTGACAACGAAAATTCCTTCCGTTTTAACGGGCGGACTACGAGGTGGCGTTGTTGTCGTGTCCATTATTTCATATGTTTTACAATTATTTTGAAAAACGTTTATTCTCGTAACGGCCCATAAAACTTTTGTTATTCTCGATGATCCGATTTTTTTCAAACCCGTATCCGATTTCGAACGACTTATGTTTTTACCTAAATAAAAAAAAATGGCACAAAAGAAGTAAAAGAAAATTTGGATTTTACAGGGTAGCCATAAGAAAGACAAACTCTCAAACAAACTCACATGTTTTACCTCCTTTGCTGATGGAACGTTTATTAATAATTTCATCATCACTGTTACACATTAAACTTTCACCTTTGACATTATTCCTTTTGCAACAGCAAGGTTTAAATGATTTATGCAAACCGCAAATAACATCTCTCTGTATTGGAAAAATAACCTGACCGTGATTATCACCGTAACACGTTTTATTACTCTTAAAATTTTCTTTGCTTTTACCATCGTTGCACCATTCTGGAAAAAAAAGAAGTGTGGGGGTGGAGGAAAGGTTTTTGTCAGTTAATCCCAAGAGTTGGTACCATTTTAAACTCACCCAAATTAATTATGCTTCCGCATCTGAATCCCTTGTGACTTTTTTTTCTATCAACAATTTTAGACCTATCGAATTCTCCTCCTCCCGATGGAAAACAACAATGAAGATCACCAACGTCATCATTTTTCAATGATTTCCTTTCCAAACTGTGGATTTTCGAATATGATGGAAGTTTCGTGTGACAAATTTTCGATGCGATAACATCCCATGCATCTAGCAGAGATTTGTTTCTCTGTTTAAAACGAACTGATTAGAAACAATTAAAATTTTTTTTTATATTTTTTATTTATTACCTGTAATAGTAAAATTTGTCGTTTTTCTTTTTTTTTTAAATTTGATAATGATAATGATGATGATGACGATGACGATGGTTTACCTTTAACGTGTCTCTCCTGCATTTAACTTCAGCAATGTCTTTTTTGTACACTTCGTATTGTTCTTTTATTTTACGTAATTTTTCTTCTTCCGCCGCCAATCTTTGTTTTATGTTACCAAAAATTAAATTAATATCCGATGGCAGAATGCTCGAAGAACTTTTCTTTTTGTTAACCAAGAATTCTTCTAAATACGCTTTCATTTCGAACATTTTTTTACCTTCTTCTTCGAATTGTTTTCTTTTGCTGTTTCTATCGTTTTCTTCCTCCGCAATCGCTTTCCTCAATATTTGTTCTTGTTCTTGTAATTCGAATATGATTTTTTTCAATTCTTCTATTCGGGTTTCCAAACGTACCGCGCTGTTTTGCGCCGACACGCCACCTTGTTTCGACGGAGAAGGCGACGGACATGCTTTCGATAAGTTTTGTAAATTTTCTTCTAATTTTCCACTGCAACAACTGCCACCGACGCCACCGACACCAATATTACCGCTACCACCACCAATACCACCAAGACTACCAATACCACCAACACCACTATAATCTCGTGCTGTAACGTGCGAAAACTTTTTTAAAATTATTTTTGTTAATTAAAAAAAAGAAATTTTTATTTTAAAAAATTCTAGGAAAAATAGGAACAAACAAAAAAATTTTACTTTTTAATAAATTTCTCATCATTTTTAAATTTTCCATTATTGACACGTCTAAAGTTGGTCCTAATGCGCTCGTTATAAATTCAGGTGCTTGACTTAATGTTGCTTGTACCATTTTACCTTTGAATATATCTGGACATGGAATTTTCGATTGTATTCTCTGCGGTCGAATATCTGATGATTTTTTACAAGAATTGTTTTCTTCCGACGAACACGGTTGTTCGTCTAATCTTTAAAATAAAAAAAAAAATTATTTAATTACAATTATGTGAAAAACTTTTACTTTTAGTAAAAAGGATCAAAAAAAAATTTACTGATTTTTAGTTGCGCATAATGTTGGCATGACTGTTAATTGTGAATTAAATTTTGATGTTCTCGACACGAAAAACCTATTGAAATTTTTCGTTTCGTTTTTATTTATTTGTATCAATGCTTCCAATTGTCTTTTTATCTTTTCCGGAGATGGTGCCACTTGTTTCAAATCGCTATCCAAACTTCTTATTTTCGATAGATTTGTTACTTTCGACGAATTCGGAGGTTTGAACATTTGTTCGTCATCATTTAATTTTGCGGTGAAAACGATGTGTTTTTTAGATAGTCTTTCATCGCTTAATTTTTTTATATTTGCTTTTAACAATGATTCTCGCGAATCTTGCGAATTCTGATTTATTTGATTGTGATTAGACGTGGGTTTATATTTAACTTCTTTTATTTTTAATTTTCCTTTTTGTTGTTGCTGTTGGTGGTGGAGGAGTTGCTGTTGCAGCTGCTGTTGTTTTTTACGAGTGTATTTTTTAGGTTTTTTAACGAGTACCTCATTATTCGTATCGATTTCGTCGTCATTTTTTTGAATTAACGATTTACCAAATTCGAATGTGCGTAAAAAAGCATCTTCGAAACTCGGTCCTAAAAATGATTTCACTATGCTTAATCCGTTATAATTAAATTTTTTCTTTTCTTTTTTATCATCTTCTGAACTCGAATCGTTTGTTCCACATGATGAATCTGTTTTATAATTATTATCTTCTTTGTTGTTGTTATCTTCTTCCTCTTCGACAGGCCGAGTTGAGTTTTTATTGTAACAATTTGATGGTGGTGGCATTCGATTCACGAATTATTTTTTATGTTTTTTTTAAACTACCTTTTAATAAATAAATAAATAAATTTTTTAATAACTACAAAACAAACTAAATTAACTTCTAAAACAAACAACAAAAATAAATAAAATGTTACACGCACGCACGCACGCACGCACGCAAATCCGCATAACTTATAATTAATATAAAAATAAAAATAAATACATACATACGTGCATATACATATATGTATTTGTTATTGTTGTTGTTGTTATTATTATTATTATCATCAATCTTTCATTGGATTTTCCGAGGATTTTTTTTTTTAATAACTTATAACGACGGAGATAAATATAAATATAAATTTTTTTATAAAAAAAAAAAAAACAAAAAAAAACTATATTAATAATAATATATTGTAGCCATATAGCGATGAGTAACAATATAAACACATCGATTTAAAACCTTATCATCATCATTATTATCATTATTATTATTATTATTATTTAAAAATAATTTTATTAACTTTTTTATTTTTTTGTTAGGGTTTTATTTCACTATATATACACTGACACGGTCCGACATAATAAAAACTTTTTTGTTTTTTTTTTTTTAATATTAATAATTAATAATAATAAATAATAATATTTTATTATTATTAATAATAATAATAAATTATTTTTTATAATAATAATAATAATAATAATAATAGTAAATAAATAGTAATAAATAAATAATAGTTCGGGTTTTACTTTTTAAACTTTACAAAAATTTACAAACACAATATGTATACACCCGTTCGCCATTTTTTTTTTTTTTTTTATTATTATTTTGAAACGGAGACATTTTGAATTTGTAATTTAAAAATTGAATTTAAAGAACAAAGGGTTCTTTGCTTTTTGTCATGAGATAGTACTTTCCGGATACGCTTCTGTAAAAAAAAAATAAAAATAATATAAAAATTTTATCAAAAATTAGTTTTTAGTAATAATTAATTTTAAAAAAAAAAATAATAATAATAATTTAATAACGAACGGTACTTTCTAGAACACGGTTCTCCCATGTAGGAAACAAGAGATGAATTATCACAATCACCGGATATGAATTCTTCATACGTGAGACATAATTGACCGGTAAATTTTTTTTTAGATATAACCGATTCTGCAAAATATTGAGGAGCTCTGCTATGCGAACACTTCACTGGAGAAAAAAACGATGGGAAAAATTTATAGAAAAAAAGGTCGCTGGATGGTTGGAAAGAGGAAAAGGAAGCGAAAAGTGGTAAGTTAAAAATTTACCTACAATTTGAAAAATCGCAACCGGGTTGTCGAGTACCACCGTTCGGATAAAAATCAACATGTCCTAATGGATCTAACATGGCCAATATTCCGCCACACGTGTGTATGACGTCAACAAATTTAGCATCGAATTTATCTAAATGTCCCGATGGGTGTGTGTGTAAAAACAATGGCAATGCCGGATCCAAACCTTTTCATAACAAAAAAAAAAGTAATAATAATAATTTAAATGAAAAAGTTGATGGTTAGGTAATAAGTACCTGTAATTCTACAAATCGGTACTATTGTGACGTTTTTACCGGTAAAACCAGCAACTTGTGCACCTAAACTGAATCCTACTAAATGAACGAGCGACATATTTAATCCAACCAAATAAAGGCCGTTTAAGAATTGGGCGATCGTTTCACCGACAAACCTGTAACAAAAAAAAAAAAAAAAAATTTTTTTTTAATATAAAAAATTTCAAATTGGAACTTTCTAGAAAGGGATTCCGTAGGGGATTCAGAAGGTTTCGATTGTTAACGGTAGCAAAAAAAAACTTTTACTTGGAGTGATGTGTCACTCTTATGTAGTAGGGTGGTGCTGCTAACATTTCCCAATCAACCTGTATAACATTGTACCTTCCGGTGTCGAGATATGCTGAAAATAACATGGAAAGAAAACCACGCACAAAAAATCTTCTGACCATGTTAATTTTTTATAAAATTGTTATATTTACCATCTTTTATCTTAGCCATACGGCTGTCTTTATACGATCCCGTGTAACCGTGTATTAATATTTTCGTGGGAGCTCGAAGATTCAAATAATTCGAACGAATTATTTTTCTATTACGATCTGATATCCTTTGAAAATCGTCGATTTGATCGGGGGGTATGTCGTAACAATCGATGTCGAAATGCTGTCGTTTTCCTTTTAATTTTTTATTTATTAAATTGTAATTGATGTTTAATAATTCCGGTTGTATGACGTTTCTTCTGGAAAAAAGAATAAGACGTTTGTATCGTTTTTTTTTTTTTGGGGGGGGAGGGGTGGGGAGGAGTTTGTGGTAAAGAACTTACCTCGTGTAAAGGAAAAATTTAACGTCTCTCGTGTTCGGTATGTGATGAGAACCCAAAACGCAATGCCATAAATTAGTCATCCTTCCAGCCAAATCTGAAGCCACTTCTCCAGCCGTATTTAACATTTTTGTCGAATTCATTGTTTGTTTATCCATTTTTGAAGAGGGTGGTAGATTTTCTTCGGCGTTTCTAACATTTTTCGACGATTCGTTTGGACTTTTCATATCAATGTAAATTTTTATTTTCGACGATGAATCACCACCACCATCACAATCACGGCCACTACTACTACTACGACTACGACGACGTTTTAACGATTTTGATGGTATCCTTAATGAATTTTTTTCTCTGAATGATAGATAAGGAAAATTTTTAGTGCTTCCATATTTCGGTTTGAAGGAATGTTTATAATCTTCTTTTATCGGTGTATTTTCTTCTGTCGGCAAAAGAAATTTTCCTGCATTTTTTAAAATTTCGTTATACGATAAATCTTGATTAATCTTATCAAGTTGATAAGAACGTAAATAGGCGAGATTTCTATTATTATTATTATTATTATTATTATCGGAAAATTCTGGATCGAACCTCAATTTTTGCTGATATTCGTGAATTTTTTCCAATTCGTTCATTTTTTCTAATATCGTTGAGTCTAACAAGGATTTATCCCGTACCGAATAAAGAGAATTTCTTATAAGCGGCGAAAAAAATTTTCTCTTTATGTTCAGTAAAGGATTCTGAACGGGTAAATATGTGTTGGATGACTGTAGGGGTAACACATCCGATTGATAATTGGAATATAAATTTTTTACGAAGGGATATTGGATAGGGGATGATTCGATGTAATTTTTTGGGAAAAGTTGTTGTTGTTCTGAAAAAAGAGCGTTGGAGGCAAAGGGTGGTTGAGCAAAGTAATCATTTTGTGCCTGGGGTAAAAATTTTACTGTGTTTTGTCTTAGAGAGTCAGGAGGAGTTTTTTGAAGATGTGTATCGCAATCACAAGGAGGTGGTTCTTGCGGCGGAATGTTTGGAGTAGGTGGCTCCGTAGGAGTGTCGGTAGTAGGTTCTTCAGAAAAGTTTGGGGTGGATTGCTCGAGAGAAGGATTGGGAGTTGGTTCTTCTTGAGGAATAATGGGAATTGGGTGCTCTGAAACAGTCTTGAGCATGGGTTCTTTCTGAGAAGAGATGGGGATCGGTTCATCCGTATGAGAGTTGACGTTTGATTCGTCTTGAGGAATTTTCGGATCTGGTTCTTTCGGAGGAACTCTCGGAAATTGTTCTCTTGGAAGAGTTTTTGGAGATGGTTTCTCTGGAAGAGTATCCGGAGTTTGTTCTTCTAGTGAAGCGGGTTTTTCATTTTCAGGAGTTTTTGAAGAAAGTTGCCTAAAAGGAATATTTGAAGCAGGGTGTTCTGAAGAAACGTCGGATCTTTGCAGCTTTGGAGTGGTGTTCGGAGAAGTCTGCTCTGAATAATCTTCAGAAGGATTTTGCTCTGCGGGAGTATGTTGCTTCGCAATGTCTAATTCGAATTGTTTTGTTATCATTTCGGGAGAAACTTTATAATAAATTTCGGGAAAAGCCTTACGGGAAGAGACTTGCGGAAAAGGCTTGTGAAAAATTTCTGAAGGAGATTTTGAAAAAATGTCAGAAAGGGATTGGGAAGGGATTTCAGGAAAAGTCTTATAAGAAATTTTGGATAGAGCCTTGGGAGGAATTTCAGAAGAAGTCTTACAAGGATTATTACAAATGCATGGACAAGTGATTTCAGGGAAAGCCTTATGGGAAATTTCGGGAAGACCCATTTGAGGAACTTCGGGAAAAGACGTATGTTTACCTCCGGGAAGTGGCATATTAGGAAATTCGGGAAGAGCCATTTGAGGAATTCCGGGAAGAGGCATATTAGAAATTTCGGGAAGAGGGGTATGTTTACTTCCGAGAAGAGGCTTATGAGGAATTTTGGGAAGAGGCGTATATTTGCCTTCGGGAGGAGGTGTATGTTTGCCTTCGATAAGAGGCGTATGTTTATCTTCGGGAAAAGACGTATGTTTACCTTCGGGAAGAGGCGTAGATTTACCTTCGGGAAGAGGCTCATCAGGAGTTTCGGAAGGAAAAGGCATAGATTTACTTTCGGGATCAGGGTTATGAGGAGGAACTTCGGGAGGAAGAGGCATAGATTTACTTTCGGAATCAGGGTTATGAGGAGGAACTTCGGGAGGAAGAGGCATAGATTTACTTTCGGGATCAGGGTTATGAGGAGGAACTTCGGGAGGAAGAGGCATAGATTTACTTTCGGGATCAGGGTTATGAGGAGGAACTTCGGGAGGAAGAGGCGTAAGTTTACCTTCCGGAAGAGACTTATGAGAAATTTCGGAAAGATGAGGTGTAGGTTTATCTTCGGGAAGAGACTTATGAGAAATTTCGGAAGGATAAGGTGTAGGTTTATCTTCGGGAAGAGGCTTATGAAAAATTTCGGAAGGATAAGGTGTAGGTTTATCTTCGGGAAGAGGCTTATGAGAAATTTCGGAAGGATAAGGTGTAGGTTTATCTTCGGGAAGAGGCTTGTGAGGAATTTCGAAAGGAAGAGACGTAGGTTTATCTTCGGGAAGAGGCTTGTGAGGAATTTCGAAAGGAAGAAACGTAGGTTTACCTTCGGGAAGAGGCTTGTGAGGAATTTCGAAAGGAAGAGACGTAGGTTTACCTTCGGGAAGAGGCTTGTGAGGAATTTCGAAAGGAAAAGACGTAGGTTTACTTTCGGGAAGAGGCATATGGGGAACTTCGGGAAGAGGCATATGAGGAACTTCGGGAAGAGGCATATGAGGAACTTCGGGAAGAGGCTTACATGAACATTCGGGAAGAGGCTTACATTCGGGAAGAGGCTTACATGAACATTCGGGAAGAGGCTTACATTCGGGAAGAGTCTTACAAGGATTATCGCAAGGAATGGATTGGCAAGGGTTGTTAGAAAAAGTGTCGAGAGAAATTTCGGGAAGAGCCCTGTGAATATCTTCAGGAAAAGTCTTCCTAGGAATATTGGAAATTGATCGGTAAGGCATTTCGGGAAGGATTTCAGAAGGGATTCTTGGAAATGTTCTCATGGCGAATTTGTTTGATAATAAAAGGGGATCATTTTTTTCGGGCAATACTGTCGGAATACTTTGTTCGGGGAGTCCTTTAAGAGTGATTTGTTGAGTGATTTGTTCAGGTAATGATGCATCGGGAATATTATTTTTATTTATTTTACTAGGCGTGGAAGTCACAGGTTTTTTATGAGGTTTAACGTGCATTTTTTTTTCCGTCTGAGATTCGCATGGATTTTTTTGTAAATTCGTAATCGGTTTAATGCTTGGTTCGCAATTTTTTAAATTCTTAGGCGGTACGCCCAATATATCGGAAAATGTTAAAACTGATTTTGAAACAGGGAAGGACGGTAATAATACAGAATTAGAACAAGGACACGGCATCATCGGCTGTAGCGGATCTGGAAAATGATGCAAAGTAGGAAAGCAAGGGGATTCGGGAACCGAAGAAACGGTACTGGGATTACACTTAATTTTTTCTATGTGTGAACTTTTCGGATGCACTCGAATCCCCGAACCTTGATGTTCGGGATTCTCATCCAAATTATACATGCTCGATTTATTACCGCACTTGGATCCTTTGTACCGGAGGGGATGCGTCGCATTTTTTATTATTTCTTTTAATTTTGTGTGTTTTACAAACGTTTCAACTTTGTGTACGGAATCAGATGATTTATTCCTTATAGATGTCCAATTCGTGTTCAAATGATGATCTTTTGTAAAATTTTGAAATTTTTCCTTAATTATATCCTTGATTGCGTTATCCGTCGTTGTCGGTTCCTGCTGTTCCAATTCCCAAATTTGCCTTTTCTTATAATTACCGTGTGATTTTTCATTTTGCAAATCTTCTATTGGAAACCAGCTCAAGTGATTTATTAAAAATTGTTTTATTTTTTTCGGACTCGTCCTCAATTTCGGTACTTTTCTCAAATAATAATCTTCGTAATAATCGTCACGTGACTGATGTTTGGACCGTATATCAAGGTATGGCAAGCAGTTTCCGTAAATAATTATACCGCATATTGAAATCAATATTGAAATCAAAACTTTCATATAAAAATTTCACTTTCTATTATTAAAATCAATTTTCAATTTTTTAAATATACAAATATGCGTGTGTGTGTGCGTGTGCGTGCGTGCGTGTATTATCGTTTTTTTATTAATTAATTAATTTAAAAAATAAATCGAATTCCAATCGATGATCATATCATTTATGATGCGAGTCGTTTCGAAATTTTCCAATTAGAAAACACGAATTTGATTATTATTATTATTATTATTATTTTTTATTATTGATACGATTCACGCATTTCCGCCACGTACGCATATTCAACGGCGTACATAAAATAAAAAAAAAATAAATTTATTTTACCTGAAATTATGAACAATAAATAACTGTAAATTATCGTCAAAACTGTTAATAAGACATTTAATAATTACGATACATAAACATTTGTTATAGTTTTCCGATGATGAATAAATCAATAAATCGATTAAATACGATTTATATCGATTCTCGAAAATTTAAAATAATATATATATTTATATACGCGTTATGTTTACAAACACAAATTCATTACGTTTATTTAATTACTCTATGACTTTTTGTCGGGCTGCATAAAATAACTCTGACGTCATCACTCACGACGTGAAAAGAAAAGAAAATTTTTTTTTTTTTTTTTCCGAGAAATCCATGTAAATAAAGAAATAAATAAATAAAAATGGCGTTTTAAAATGCTCGAAAAATATATTTATGTAAAAATATACTTATTTAAATAAATTTATGTAAATAAATAAATAAATTACAAATAAATAAATAAATAATTCAAAGTTTAAACGATAAACTATCGAAAAATAAAATTTTTATATCGAACGTTCGATCGACGTTCATCGATTCTCGTTCGATATTTATTTTTAATTAAGTACTAAGGCCGCAATTTAAAAAAAAAATTTTTTTAAAGAAAAATATCCGGAAGTGACGACAAAAATAAATAAATAAATAAATAAAATTATTTTCCCGCATTTAAAAAAAAAAAGGGCGGGAAATTTAAAAAAATATACATATTTTTTTTAAAACTTAAATTATTACAGCTTAAATTAATTTCCCGTTTCCGGTTTTTTTTTTTTTTTTTTATAAAGTGCGTGTACATATGTATATGTGTAATACGCACATAATGCGTATAACGCAAACGTAATTAATTAATTATTAATTACGTTAATTATTAATTAATGACTAGATATCACTCTTATTATTCATTTTGATAAGTTTTTTTTTTATCAAAACGAAAAACGAAATAAAAGAAATATTAATTAAAATTAATAAACTTAACATTAATTAATTAATAAATTATCTTACATTTATGTAATTATTATTAACCTATTAACACTTATTTATTTTTTATTTTTTTCCCCTATAATTATTATTATTATTTTTTTTTAATAAATCGAAAAATAAATTTAAACATTTCAACGTCATAAAAATTTTACGTTAGAATCTATCCCGTAATAATAATAATAATAATAATAATATTAAAAATAAATTAATTAAGTACTCGTAAGTAAGTAAGTTATACATAAAATTATATTAAACTATTAATGATGACGTAATTATTAATACATATATAAATATATTTTTTTTTTTATTCACGCTTAAAATTAATCTTTGGTTTGCCTACTGTATTTTAAAATGATAAAGAAAGTTTTTAACTTCTTCATCGTTTCGGTTAATGATAATAATAATAATAAATAAATATGTTAATAAATAAAAAAATAAATAAATTGATTATTAATTATTTGATAAGTTGATGCCCTTTTTAGCCGCAACCGGAAGTTTTTCACCGTTTAAATACGGGTTGACATCCTAAAATGATAATAAAAAAATTAATTAATTAGAATAGATACTTTCTCCGCGTCGAAACAATATGGCGGACATGTCGTGGATTTTTTTTATTATTATTATAATCGATATTTACCTTTTTCGTGTGAAATTTTTTCGCGACTAGATTTTTATGCTGTTCTCCCTCCGTCAATTCTTCCATTATTCTATCGAGATCTAAATCTTCCTCGTTAAGATCGTTGCCGTGACTTTGAAAATCTCTAACGGGACATTCGAACATGTGTTCGGAATCGCACATGCAATCCTGAGATGTTTGATAATCCCTACTGAATGCTGCGGTATTTTCAAATTCTTCCAAACAACCGTCTTCACCTGGAAAAATGGGTTTTAAAGTAAGGGAACGAATTTAGGTATTATCACGCTTGTCAATGATAACGTACCCGTATATCCTATCGGACAAGGATTAGGCGGATTACAATAAGCCGGTAGAGTTTCGTCGGTTTTAACTTGTTGCTGATTTTGTACGCTTCCATCTGGTTTTAAACGTTGTTTCCCTTCTCCGGCTCCTCCAGCGACGAATTGATGTCCCCAAAGGCTGGAATGTTGTAAATATTCTCGATCTCTAAGTGACGGATTTGGATTATTCGATAATCTATCATAATCTATCGGATCTGATGTTTCTTCGTTTTCGAGATCTTTTATAACGCGATTCGACAGGAAACCATTTGTCTGTAACCTGATAATAATGATAACAATGATTGATCGAAGGAACAATTTATAAATATTTATCAATTACCTTTCGTTGTCTGGCATGTCTAAATAACTATCGGCAGCTTCTGCCAAATCTTTTCCCATACGGTCAACCACATCCCGGAATAAAAGATCCGTTAAAAAATGTTCTTTGGCGTGTGGTACGTAGCAAAGACCACCACCAACTCCCAATAGGAGAAGGAGGAGGCCTGATATTTCCATTTTAAACCTGATAACAACAAAAACAAAAGTTATTACGTCTCAAACGTGACGACATATGGAACCTTATGCTTCAAATAAACGAAATAATGACGTAATAAATTTTTTTTTTAAACAATCGATAATTAATTATTAATTTTCCAAAAGTAATTTTTATGGATTCCAAAAAAAAAAGAAAAAGGGAATTTATAATTATAATTAATTACGGTGATTTCGAACGGAGAAGTTGGAGGAGGGGGAAAGGGGAGGGAGGAAGGAAGGAAGAAAAAAGGTGAAAAACAAACGTTTGTATTTAAAATATCTTACCTCCTTATGGAGAATTTCTCCGTGCTGGAGAAAATGATGAAGAAAAAGACAAAAAAAAAAATATTCACTATGAAAAATCACACACACAAACACACACCGATCCCTGTCGTTACGCTAAGAAGAAAGAAAGAAGGAAACTTTTCCCTTTTTTTTCTCTCTTTTGATAAACCCTATTGCGCAGGAAAATCTCCCGCGTGTTTAACAAATGAAAATTACATGTTGAGCTTATGACGGAATTATATGTTAGGGTTAAAATCCATCATCCCGTGTATTGATTTTCTTTCTTTTGTTCTTTTTCCCTCCTTCCCCTCGGGAAAACTATTTCGGGTTGTTAGGGACGAGATTTTTACGTTTTATCATCATCATCATATCAAATACTCTCGAAAAACTAAGAAAAATTTTTAAAAACGAGGAAAAAATAATAACAAAATTAATTTTCGATTAAAAAAAAAATTTTCACGATTTTAAATTTTACCGGGAGGGGGGGGGAAAAGAGACTCGTTTGCGTCGAGATAATATGCGCAAATTTTTTTTTCTTCTTCTCGAAACGTAAAAAAAAAAAAATGGCGTCTAAAAAAAAATAATTGGGTGCTCCTCAATATTACATTTTGAAATTTTTTTTTTCCTTTTTTCTTTTTCCAAGAATTAAGTAATAAGAATCTTCTCTTATTACTTTGTTACGTAACGACAATAATAATAATAATACTCTATGAAAAAAATAAAAGGCATTATTATTATTATTATTATTATTAATATTTTTCCTTTTGTTAAGATGTCTTATTGGTTGTGTAACAAAAACGCATTCGTCAGAATTTTTCTTTTTTCTCTCTTTTTTTTTTTTTAATAATAATTTTTATAAAATTTTAATTCGCTTCCCCCCTTTCGCCTCCTCTCCCCTCTCCAATTAAAAGAAAATTCCAGAAATAAAAAAAAAAAAACTAACGGTTAATTAATAATAATAAAATTATTAAAGACAAAAAAAAATTAAATTAAATTAAATATTATCCGTTATTATTATTATTACTATTATTATTATTATTATAATTATTACCGCATGGTTTTGTGTGTGTGTTTCGGTCGATCGTGAATGGAATGAAATTAAAATAATAATAATAATAAATTTTGCGCGGTTTTAAAATAAGAAAAAATAAAATTTAAAACGACGTAGGATGATGTAAATTTCGAAAAGAGATTTTTTTTTTATTTTAAAAACGAGAGTGAAAAAGATAGGAATAATGAAAAAGAAGAGAGAAAGAGAGAGAGAGAGAGGTGAGAAGGTAAACCTCTTGAACGCGTAGGTGGTAGCTCTGTCCGGGTTTTCCAGGGTTTTAACATGAGCTTCCTTCATTATTTTTCAAAATTGTAAAATTATTATTTTTTTTTTTTTTTTGCTTCCCCCCCCCTCCTCCCGATACGATTTACATAATAATATTTATTATTAAATACCTCATTTTTTCGTTTTGCCAACTTTCGAAAAATACCATTTCCGTTAATAATAATAATGATAATAAAACGTTAAAAATTTAAAAAATTTTTTAAAATCCAAATCGTAAAAAAAAAAACCCGTTAAATTAATGCTTTCGAAAAAAAAATAAAGAAATAAATAAAAGGTTTTTAAAAATAAACATTAAAATATAAAATATAAAAAAAACGGGAAATTTTTTTGACCTTTGACATTTTACCTTTTGCAAAAAAAAAAAAAAAGAAAATGTAACTGCGTGAAATAATCGTTAAATACATTTTGTCTCTTTTATTTTTTTTTACATTTTAAGTAAATTAAATTCGTATGAATCTAACTTATTTTTTTTTTCGATTAACTATTCGGCTATTAGAAATTTCTAGAAAAAAAAGAATAATAATAATGATAATAATAATAATAATAAGTGATTCTCGTTGGCTGAATTTAAAAGACAAAAAAAAAAATTTCGCCATTTTAAATTATTTATTATTTAAATTTGCGTTCGAACAGAATTCGATCCGAACGGATGTTAATAACCGTTCGACGAACTTTTAATAAGTCATTAATAATAATAACAATGATGATGATAATAATAATAACAAAAGAGGGGAGGGGAAGAGAAAAAAAGTGAAATTTTACTTTTTTCTTTTTTTTTTAATGAGAGGTTGTAAAAATGATTATTCCGTGATTATTACCCCTCAATCGATTCGACATTATTTATTACCTTAATAATAATAATAATAATAACGATAATGATAATAATAATAATAACTATTCAATTTAAAAATATAACACGTTAGGTTTTAACCTTTTTAAAAAAAAAAAAAAAAAAGATTTTATATATTTTACGACGTGAAAATTTTTTTATTATTATGTATTTAATCTAAAAATAAATTTTGGTGGTGGTGGGGAGTGGGAGGGGAGGGTTCTGGCGAAATAAAAGAATTTTTTTTTAAGGGTGCGTTAATTCGATGACGTCAATTTTTATCGCGTCACAAGGAAAACGATTCTAAAAAAGTGAGAAACACGATAATAATTTAATAAGTTGGAATTTTCTCCCCAGGATTCGAAAGGAAAAAGGGTTAGTTATAAACTATGAATTTGTTTTTATGATATTTAAAGTTTACAATAATCGAAGCAGAAGAAAACAAAATAACCTAAACAAACAAACAGGAAAAAAAAAAAGTAAATCCAATGAAGATAAATGCCTTAAAAAAAAAGCAACCAAAGAAAGGTAAATATTTTCGTAGAAAAATAAACCTTTTCCTTTTTTTTTTTATAACAATAAATACCTTTCATCCTTTTTTTTAAACAGAATTTTCTTATCATCCGGTTTTTATTTTTAATTTTAAAATTTTATGGAAATTTATACGCCAATTTTTTGTTTCGTTGCGACATTTTTAAAATTTAAAACAAAAAAAAAAATTCGTCGTGTTAAAAAGAGAAAATTTTTCCTTTGTATTTAAATTTGATATTTAATTTAAATAAAAAGAATAAAAATAATAATAATAGTAATTAAGTGAGAGAGAGAGAGAAAAACAACAGCAACAGAAAACTAAAAAAAAATTTTGATAACGACGTGAAAAACGATAATAAAAAGAAAAAGTTTTATTACCTTACAGTTAATTATTTTATTTTATTATGAAATTAAAAACTGCCTTTTGTTTGTTTCCATTCGTTTGTTGGAAACGATTTGTTGGAAAATTGTTTGTTTCATTTTTAGGTTATTAAAAAATATAATAAAACAACCGCAAATTATTTCGTCGCCCTCACTCACTCCAAAAATAAAAAAAAAAAAAAAAAACAATTCAATTTTTAATGTTCATATATGGGAATGACGTCATTTTGTAAATTTTCAACGTCAATGGGATAAGAAAAAAACAAAAAAAGGAAAAAAGGATAAAAATAATTCATTGTCAAGGATTTCGGATTACCCTTAAATGTAAAAAAAAAAACTTTTCCCACTTGACATACACACCGCATTTCCCTTAGAAAAATAAAAGTAAAACAAAAACAATTATTTTTCCCTTCCCTCCCCTCCCCTCCACATTACCACAATTTCCCTTTCTCCTCATCAAGAATAAAAAAATTTTCAATATGGCGAATTCGAGATTTCATATGAAACGAAAAAAATTTCGTAGGTCTTCATTAAACCGATTTAATCAATCGAAATTATTTAAGTACCTCCACTCGAAAAGTATAAATAATATTTTCAACAAAACAAACCCCCCTCTCCTCGCACCCCCCAAATAAAAAAAATTTTCTTTAAAAGTACAACGGAAGGAAGGAAAAAAATCTTTTCTGAATTTTTATATTTTATTTATATTAAAATTTTAATCGTCCGCCATATTTCTTTCGGAAAATTCAAACATTTAAAAATTATTTTACTTGCAATAAGAAATTTCAAAACAGGAAATGACGTCAACAAAAATTAATTAAATAATGAATTTTTAATAAATTTTGTTAAACGTGTGCGTGCGTGTTGAGTTGATAAAAAAACGACGACGTCATTATTATTATTATTATCATCGTGACGACGTTTTTTTTTCTTATTAATTCCGCATCCGGTAAAATTAATATTATTATTAGTACGAGTAATATTTACATTATATTACGTTATTTTTTTAAAAAATAAATTAAAAAGGGGAAAAAAAATGGCGGGGTCAGGTCCCTCCCCCCCTACGTATAAAATTTATTTTTATTTTTATTTTTTTTAAGGTAAAATTGATAGATTTGGGTCGTGTTCCAGTTTTTATCAAGTAATAAAAAAAAAAAAATTAATTTAAATCCTGTAGGATATTTTTTTTTTTTTACAGGTGCTTCAATAAAATTCTAAATTGAATTTTTTTTTTTCGAGGGGAATCAACGTTAATTTTCTTATTTATTTATGTTTTTTTTTCGTAAGTTTTCGAATTTAGGTTGGCTGCACTGACGAAAAAAAAATGGCGGTTTTTTTATTTATTTAAAATTACGAAAAATTAACGAGTTTCGCGGCCATTTTTAAAATTATTAAAAAATTACATTCCCGTGTGACGTCATACGCACATGAAATGAATTTGATTGGCTTGGAAAATCAACCAATGAGAAATTAGGAAAATTTTATTTTAATTAAAAATTCTACTCGATGTTTTTCTTTTTTTTTTTTTTTTTTTTTCTTTTCATTTCTTAATTTAATTTGTTATGACGTCAATTTTTTTTCTCCTTTTTTTTTTTTTTTAATTTTGTTAACTTTTTTTTTTTTTTCTGTGGAAAATGTCACGAGCAGAAGGAAAATGAGGAGGGGAGGTGAGAGAAGAGGAGAGAGAGAGGAGGGAGAGACGGAAATAAGGTACAATATTACAAATTATTTAAATTTTTTTTTTTTTTTTTTTTTTTGTTTTGTCCTGCCACGATTCCAATTAATTCGACATATTTTATTAAATACGTCGTCATTTAATTTTTTTAAACCCTTTCCGCCATTTAAATATTTTTCGTTAAATATTTTTTTATTATGTTTTACACAACATGTTTGTGTTTGTGTTTGTGTTTGGTAAACATTTAAATTGTTTTCGTTTGGTTTAAAAAAAAAAAAAATAAATAAAACGGATGTGGAGGAACTTAATTATTTTGTTAGCAATTTTCAATATTATTATTATTATTATTATTATTATTATTATTATTATTATTATTATTATTATTATTATTATTAATATTATTATTATTATTATTATTATTATTATTATTATTATTATTATTATTATTATTATTATTATTATGAACAACAACAATGCGTGATAAAGAGTATTTAACGATTATTAATGTAATTCACAAAACCGTTAATAAAAAATAAATAAATTTAAAAAAAAAAAAAAAAAATCAACTTAACGATGCGTGCACAAAATGGCGGAATCATTACACGTAATAATAATAATAATAATAATAATAATAATAATAATAATAATAATAATAATAATAATAATAATAATAATAATAATAATAATAATAATAATAATAATAATAATAATAATAATAATAATAATAATAATAATAATAATAATAATAATAATAATAATAATAATAACAATGATGATAATAATAATAATAATAATAATAATAATAATAATAATAATAATAATAATAATAATAATAATAATAATAATAATAATAATAATAATAATAATAATAATAATAATAATAATAATTTTATTTGATAAAAAAAAATGTTTGTTTTAAATAAGGAAAAAAAAATTTTCGAAAATGTCACGTCTGAAGAATTTTTTAGGATCAATTCTCTTTAGAAAATCTTTATTTTGTTGTTTCTTTGCTTACGGATTAGAAAGTGATGTGAGGGGGGAGTAAGAGGGGAAGTGCAAAGGGGGGATAAGATGGAAAGGATGAGGATAAGGTGGAAAAGGGAAGGGAGGAGAAATTAAAAATTTTTTTTTTTTTAATTTAAATTTTAAATACAGAATAAATTTTTAAAAATTTATTTAATCATTATTATTGTTGCTGCTGTTGTTTTTGTTTTTGCTGTCGTTGTTTCATTGAGTTTGTTTGTTCGTCTCTTTCATAGTAAAAACCGACTGTTGAAAAAATCAATAGAAACAAACCACCGAATACAAAAAAAAGGAAAGAAAGAAAGAAAGAAAGAAAAATTCAATTGAGTTTCATTCAGCCAATCCGAAAAGTTCAAACTTGTTGCTGCTCCTAATCGGAGTGACTGCATAATGACAGCCCCTTTATTATTATTATTATTATTATTATTATTATTATTATTATTAAAATAAAAACGATTGCGTGCATTATTATTATTATTATTATTATTATTATTATTATTATTATTATTATTATTATTATTATTAAATTAAAAAGTTTTTTTCGGGTGTTAAAAAAAAAAAAAAAAAAATTTTTTTTTAAATTTATTTTTGTTTACATAAGTCGTTAAATAATTTGTTTTGTTTGTTTGTTCGTTCGTTCGTTTGTTTTACGTAATTATAATAATAATAATAATAATTATTATTATTATTACGAAATACTAAAAGGTTACATAAAATTATTAATATTATTATTATGATTTAATTTTTTTTTTTCGTTCGTTTTCCGAATTCAAAAAAAAAATTTTTTTTTACTTTTCTGCCTTTTGAACCTTTGTTGTTGATTTTTTTTTTTGTATTTGTTAAAAGGTCAAAAGTCATTGTAAAAATTAAGATGAAAAAAGGAATTACCATCGGCAATTTTCATTAACGAACTTTTTTTTTTCCTTTTTTAATTTTTTTTATTTTTTTGTAAAAAAAAAAATTTTCTTTTTCCTTATTAAAACTTTTTTTTTTTTACAAAATAATTATTATATCGATACAGCGTTCGTTTTTTTTTCTGGGGGGTGGAGGGGAAGGGGGAAACGATTCGAGAATAGAATCGTGGGCTCCTTTAAATTTTTTCCAAAAAAAAAAAAAAAAAAAATGAAAAACTTCGAGTTAAAAATTTTATAATTATTCGTAAACTTTTCATCAAGTATGTCACCTATTACGAAAAGGTTATTAAATAATAATAATAATTAAACCGGAAAATTAAACAAATAATTATTTTATAAAAATAATAATAATAATAATAGAAAATGCAATAGAGTAACAAAAATAATAATTAATAACGTTTACAAAAGGAAAACAAACGAAAAGAAAATTTATATTTAAAATAATGATGAAATGGGGAGGAAAAAAAAGGAAGATAGATGCTCCAATTGTTTAGGGACTCGATTTTTTGAATAACAACCCAATGCGCTTGCTTACCCCGTAAAAGGTTCATATGAAATTTCATTCAACTCGTAGGTGTAAGACGAGGGGATAAGTGGATGGTTCGGTAAGTAAGGGGGGATGAAAAACTTTTATAAATAAGAAAATTTCGTTCTCACAATTTCATTACAAGCTAGAAAACTTTTTCAAACAACCCGTTTTTTCAATATTTTATATCATCGCGTATATATTAATCAATTTCTTTAAAAAATCAAATAATATAAATTTATTTTTATTAATAATAATAATAATTAATAAATAAGTCAATAAATAAATAATAATAATTTTTTTTTTTTTAATAAGTGAACAAAAAAAAAATTTATTTAAAAAAAATCTGGATAAACTAAAGTGTCCAACGGTAAGTAGCCATATTTTTATTTTTATTTTTATTTAATAAATAAAAACGGTGATAATAATAATAATAAAAATAATAATAATAATAGTAATAATAATGATAATAATTGTTGTGGTAGCGATTTAAAATTAAAATAAATTTTCATTATTTTTTTTTTTTATTATTATCGTTTGGATCTCGTTAAATAATTTTTTTTTTTTGAAATTTTCCCTCCTCTCGTATAGTTTGTTGTTTGTTTGTTTATTTGTTTGTTTGTTTGTACATATTTTTTTATCAATCACTACTTTTCATTAAAAGGAAAAAAATTTATTATTATTTATAATAAATAAAATACTATTGATTTTTTTTTTTAAAGACTTTTTTGTATTGATTCAAACAAACAAACAAACAGACAAACAAACAATAAATAGATACAGGTAAAAGAAATGGTTCAGAAGTAATATAGAAAATATAATTTTATACGTTTTATTATTATTTCTTAAATTTTACTCAAAATAAATATTTATGTTGTTGTAATAAATAATGATAATTTTTAAATGCCCCTTTCGTCATTTTATTTAATAACTTTTTCCTATTTGTGAACGGGTTTGCCCCTTCCCTCCCCCTCGCTTCCGCTTTTTTAATAAATCGAGCCCCCTTCGTATTTTATTGCGGTAACCTTTGATATTTTTCATATTTTATTAAAATTTTTGTTAAATATTTGTAAACGATTATAAAATTTCCTCATTTAATTTATTATTATTATTATTTGACGTAAAAGTTTTTCCGTTTGTTTGTTTGTTTGCTTACTTTGGTAAATAACGCAAAAAAATAAATAATTTGTTATTTGTTTTTATCAAATTCAAAAAAAAAAAAGAAATAATTTTTTTAAAGAGATTTTTAATTTTTTTTAATTTTTTTTTTTTGTAGATGGCGACCGGAAATTTAACATCATCGATTCGTACGATATTGAAATGTTTTCTCGTAACAATAACCCTCGCATCGAGTACCGGTTACCCGTTTTTTACGGGAAAACAATATTACAGAACGGTACCCATTAGACGTTCATACGTATCGATACCGATAAATCGATATCGTAACGAGTATCAATTACCGGAATACGAGGATCCTCCTTACCTTCCGGTAAATCAATATAATTACGAATATAACAACGCATTAGACAAATATCCGTTCGTACAATATATAGGCTACTATCCGGATAGAAATTATTACAATGATAAAATGTATAGAAAAAATTCAGAGAGTTACGAATATTTCGACGATAGAAATACTCAAGAGAGCGATGATGATGATGATATTATAACCGATGATAATTACAGACAAGAAAAACCGGAAAATTATCCCTACGGTCAAGAAACGTGGTACGAAGAAGAATTACCGACGAAATACGATGATAGAAATGCTGAAGCGAACGCGGCATTTTTACAAAATTTAATTCTGGCACAAATGTATCAGGATGCGAAAAATAGGTACACCTACGGTTACGGTGAAAATTCAGACGATTACGATCATCAGCAATGGTTTTACGGTGTACCAACGACGGAAGTCGATGAAAAAGAAAAAGTTAAACAATATTTTAAAAATAAAGAAGATGAAGAAGTTAAAGAATTAGAATCTTTGGCTAGAAAAAAAGGAAAGAGTAAAAAATTAAAAGGAAAAGAATTACCATCGTACAACAGCAAAAGTAACAACAAACAAAAAAATATCGAAATAATTGAAAAACCGACAAAATCGAAATCGAAAATGACTGACGATGAATATTTCGATTTACAAAAACAAATAATCGTTAATAATCGTAAAAATAATTTTTTATTAAACGGAGATGATAATTTTAAAATAAATAAAAAACAAAATTATGATTATTCAACGGGAGATGTTATGAATAATAATAATAATTTTTGGGATTCGTACAAACAAACAAACAATAATAAAAAAATAAAAAATTTATCGAACAGCAACAGCAACAACAAAAATTCAATTCGAAATGAGAAAAATTTAGAATCGGAAACGACGACGTCTAGTACGACGATATTACCATCTTCTTCTTCTGCCACGATGAATCCATCTTTTATCGGACAAAAAGAAGTCGTGTTACCGAGACCTTCGAATCCTGTACGACGACGACGACCTTTTGGTGAAATTTCCAGCAGAAGTCTTTCTCAACCTTCTGTTTACGACACGATTAAAAAATTATTAAACATGGAAAAAGAACTTCAAAGGGTGAGTTTATATTTAAAATAATTTTTTCTCCCCTTTTCCCACCCACCCCCGCACGATTCGAACCTGAATCAATTCAAATATTTTATTACCATCATTTAATAACGGAATAATAACCCCCCAAAAAAATATTTTTGGGTTTTGAAACATAAAAAAAGAACAAACAAACACACCACTTAAAGTTTTTTGTTTTAAAGATAAGACAATAAAAAATGTTTTTAACGGGGATGAAAAGAAAAAAAAAGATGCGTGGGAGAAAAAGAGAGAGAAAATATCTCCAGAATTTTCTTTTATTTTATTTCTTTTTATTATCATAATCATCATCATCGTCATTTTTTTCAACGTTAAAAAAAATACACAAAATATATAAATTTGTAAATATCGGAAATGGTTCGTACGAGATAAATTTAAATAAAATGCTTTTACGTAGGAGTATATATATAAACAATAATACTTAATACGGCACTCAATATTTTTATACGTTTAAAAGATAATAAAACCTATTAAGGTTTATTTATTTATTTATTTTTTTGTAAATCGGAATGAAAACTTTTGGGAAAAGAAAAAAAACAAAACCTTTTTTTTGATTGATAAAAAGGTTTAATAAGATTTTTGTTTTTTTTTTTTTTTCTTCTGCTTCGATTCTTTTTTTTTTTTTTTGTAACTTTAAAAAAATGTTTTTCTTTTTTTTTTTGTAACTTTAAAAAAATGTTTTTCTTTTTTTTTTTTTTCTTTTCAATTTGGTTTTTAAATGTTAAAAGGTCAAATCGTTATTTGAAAAAAAAAAAAAGAAAAATTTTTTTTTTCTCGCTCGCAATGATTAACAATAAGAAGTATAAAAGTGTAAATAAAAATAATGGCGGTTATCATTAAAGAATAAAAATAAAATTTTCTCATTGGTTAATCGTTTGAACCAATGAAAATTTTTAAAATTTTTGATTGGTTGATAATTGATACAATAGGAAAATTTTTAATTTTTGATTGGTTGATAAGTAATCCAATAGGAAAATTTTTAATTTTTGATTGGCCGATGGTTATGACGATTTGAATATTTTTAATTTTTTGATTGGTCGATTTGTTTTCGAAACGTTGCCAAATCGTTTGTTTTTGTTTTTAATTTTAAATTGAAAAAAAATTTAAATAGTAAATAATACGTTATAATTAGGCGCGCGTTTTAATTTTAAAAAATTTGCGTTTTTCTTTTTTTTGACGTTTATTAAAAATAGAAATAAATAAAGTAATTAATAAAAGTAACGCGGATTAATATTTTAATTGATTCGATAAAAGAAAAA